AGAATAATATTTTCTATGGAAGGCATCCCGGATTGGATATCAGATCAGATGCAGACATGGCAAGGATCGAAGGACTTGTTCAACTCAGAAGACCATTGGGTAGACGTGGGGGTAGGAATGGTTCGGGAGGTGCTAATCGTATTTTCCCGTATGAAGGCGACAAACAGACATTGGAAAGAGTTGAAATTGACAAGGTTAGTTGACGAGGCGGAGGCAAATTTGGGCCAAGACCCCTTTGTAGACCTGTACTGGACGGACGGACAAACGGCTGACCGCGTTAAGCCAGTTGGAAGGACTGGATCAACAGAAACAATCAGAATGGCTGGAATGGCTCGGACTTAGAGGCATCATAGGTTATGATAGGATGACGAAACTAACGTTCCGTTCCGTGCTGTTGAGACAAACAAAGACGGTAGTGAGGGAGCTCTCCCGCCCATTTCATTCATTTGAGCCAATGTCCACAAACGCTCAGGATCTTTGTGCCTTTGCCTTGGAGTACTTTCGGGACACAGTTTCAACACGCCGACCTTACGACACGGACCTCTCTCTTACTTCCCACTTTTGCGAGGGGACGAGATCGGGTATTGCCTCTCAGACGAAGAATTGGCTGGAGGAACCATTCACAGAAAGGGAGCTCCACCAGGCTGTTAAGCAGATGGCACTTGGGAAATGCCCTGGTTTGGACGGCCTCCCGATTAAACTGTTTTTGAATTCAGGGGGGGCCTTCGCTCCCTTTTTGTGCAAGATCTATAATAGGGCACTGACGACCGGGTCGCGGCCTAAGTCCTTCGTTAAAGGATATATTGCATTACTTTTTAAGAAGGGCGATAAGAGGGAGGTTCACAACTATCATCCGATATCGGTCCTAAACGTTGTTTATAAAATATTGGCAAAGGCACTAGCTATACGTTTGGCCACGGTCCTCCCGCAATTGGTGGGATGGGAACAGGGAGCCTTCGTCAAAGGAAGGATGATCTTTGAAAAAAATAGTACTCACAACAGTGCAAGCCCTAGAGATCATAGGTGCTGAGAAACGTGAAGTGGCGGTCCTTCTGTTGGATATGGAGAAGGCCTATGACAAGGTCGGGTGGGACTTTGTCGCCACTACGCTAAGGAAGTCGGGGTTTGGGGAGGGTTTCCTGACCTGGGTACGGGCCGTGTACACAGATGCAGCTTCAACGGTAATGGTTAATGGCCATCTGTCGAATGAATTTCCCCTCACCCATTCGTTAAGGCAAGGGTGCCCCCTTGGCCCGCTCTTGTTCGTCCTACAGCTTGAGATGTTATTATTGGATAATATATTAATATTAGGAATAACCAAAGAATTATAGGTTTGAACTCATCCTCATCTTTGCAGTAAAAAAAAAAAGAAAAAAAAAAGGAGGAGCTTTAGCAGACGACTTAACAATCGCCTGTGAGACCTCCCCCGTCTCACTCCATGAATTACGCAGAGTTTTAGATGGATTATCGGCAGTCTTTCTGAAGCTTCAATTAACTGGACAAATTCGATGTATCTGCTGCCTGCCGTGTACACCTTGAAGGTGGACTGGGGCTTGAGGCAGATCCCTACAGAGAACTCCGAAAGATTTCTCGGAGTGCAGGTATCCCTTGCGGATTGCTCTCGGGTCCAAGATCAGGTGTTATCAAAAAAAACAAGGTAACTGCAAGAATTAAAGGTTGGCTGCAAAATTACAAGTTGTCCTTGTTTGGTACAGCCCTAGTGTTATCTGCAGCAGCCTTCTCCTTACTATGGTTCCCATTGACGATCTGTTTATTGAGGGAGGAAGCATACAGCGAAGTCCGTAGAGAAGCAGGGAAGTATCTATGGAACACAAATGGTTAACGGGGACCGCCATTTTCAGGCCCTGGGTAACGAGTCCAAAACTGAAATTAGGGTTTCCGGGTCAAATTTTATGTTTTTTTAATTTTTTTTGTTTTGCCTGTTCTCGTTTCGGTTCAACGTTGGTGTGTGTGTGTCAAATTTTGTGTCATTTGGAGAATTGAAAGTTCCTCTGTTAAGATTTCTGAAATTTCTCAAGATTTCTTTTTTTTTTTTTTCTTTTTTTTTTTTAATTTCTCAAGATTTCTGGAATTGAGATGTTGGCAAAATTTCATGAAAATGCACTCTTGCCTTGCTGTTTCAGATGTTTTTTTTCTTTTTCTTTTCTTGATTTTTTTTTTTTTTTTGCAGTTAGTTTGTATGGTCTCCACTCTTGGAATTGCTGGCAAGTTTGATTAAAATGACCCTTTGGTTTTCTTATAAATGACATCATGGCAAGTGGTCTGGAAAATCAGGGTCTCCGTTAACCTTCTCTGCTATGGAAGCCCTCCGCAGAATCTGGGCATAAGATGGATGTGCATGGCCGACACTCCCTTCACAAAATTAGGGTCTCCGTTAACCTTCTCTCCTATGGAAGCCCTCCGCGATATCGCAATGGTGACTTGGGAGTCTGTTACCTTTGTGAAGCCCCATAACCAAAGGAGGCCTTTGGCCATCGTTGACCCCCAGAAAGCAAAATCTGGCGCTTCTATCGAAATGGACAGGAAAAGCATGCTTCGAAGACCCCTCCAAAATCTGAATCTGGATCAGAATGGCTGAGTATATCTTATGCAAGGAATGGTCGCTACCTGATACAAGGGATAAGGTATGGCAATGCTGTATGATGACTACATTCTTCCCCCGAATACAACGCACGGTCATTATGGCTGTATTTGAGGCATCTTTCAGTCTCGATACAACCTATAATGACTGTGCATTGTATTTGGGGGAAGACTGTAGTTTTCTGCATAAGACGATCAAGTCCAGGGTTTGGCGGGGTATGGTACATGCTTGGAAGAAACAATGGCCAAAAATTTTGGACCTACCAAGCACCGAGGGAGAGGTGGCGAATCAATGTTTGTTTGACAATGAGCTAGCTAATAGCCGCCGCATCAGACGAGCTCCCGTTCTCAGCCAGGGAAGGCTTGGGCAACTTTGGCCGAGCCTGGATAGAGAAAGGGTTACTCAGGGTTAAACACGTTTGGAATGAGGAAAGGGAGGACTCTGCATCTCGGAGGAGGAACTACGGGTACGCCGCCTCCCTCGTCTCCACCAAATCTCACAAACATTTGCTAAAATATAGGAGGCAATCCCTCTAACGGCGGATCTCTCTCCTGTCCTCTTCTACGGAAAATGCAGTAGGGACGTGGGTCGAAGCAACAGGGGGAACTTCAAGACAATATTTGTTGGAAGGAGGTGGGGCCCACCAACCTGCTGGAAGGGGATTAGGCCGGACAACTGGCAAACGATTCATACACAGAAAGGGGTTACACCCCTGCGGTTTGTACAGGAAAGGACGGTCCCCACAACTCTGGGTCTGACGGAACACCCGGTCACGGTGTACAGCACTGACAAAGTCAAGGGCTACTTGGGGAAACACACTCAGAGTTCATAGCGCAACCCTGGGGGTGCTGTATGGATGGGAACAGGGGGATAGGGATAGGAACCAGTCGGAGACTCAGAGGCTACTCCCTGGACAGGATACAGTGGAGTTCTTTTTAACATTACGGTGGGAGCGTCTGTGCTATACAGACAAGTCGACGGCACCCCCACGGTACTCGCTTGCAATCGATTGGCCAAGATAAAGGGTTGGAAAGCGCAACAACCGGACTGGGAGTCATTGCGGGCAGGCCTAAAGAAAACCCGCAAGCAGAAGAATGCCTGCCTAATGTGGATAGAAGCACTGCAAGGAGTTACGACAGGACTGAGACTGGTCTACAAAAGCGATGGAAATCGCGATAACCTGCCGCAGATGTGCCTGGGGGTGGGAAGCAAATGCCCACCTCTGGATTCACTGTCCATTAGCGGATGAGCTTTGGATGCGGTGGGGACCTTTCACTGGAATAATATAACAGAGGGGGAATTTCCCTGGAGTGATTATTGGGCTCTGTACCGAACTCTCCCCAGCCTGCAATGCAACTACGTAAGTGGATGGGGGTACGTGGCCTTGGCTTGCAGAGGGATTATAATGCAGGCGATTTGGCTGTCTAGAAATGAGAAGGTGTTTAAGAAACAGCAATGTCAAGCCAGCAGCCGCAACGCAAAGTCAGGTCCTTGCCAATATCAGACTTTCTATTCTATCAGATTGGAGACTGGCAAGGGGCTGCCCGGGCAGAGGCAGGCTGGGCCCCCTGATTTCTTAAGACATGGGCTGAACTGAATCGTTTGGTTTCGGTTACTCGGGAAGGGAACATTGAGCTTGCAAGATGGTTATTACGGAAATACCCCTCCGTTAGCATGAGACCGAGCAGCCAAAGTTAAGTCCGGATCTAGGGTCAAAGACTGAATTTTTTTTTTTTTTTTTTTTTTTTTTTTTTTTTTGATTACTGGTCTGGACATCTTTCTTAATTTCCCTTTTTGGGGGTTGGGCATCAAGAACTTTCGTCTGAGAAAGTAGCTGAGTAGGGAAAGGGACACCGGAGCCGGTTTCCAGAAATGATTCGTGTTTGAGCCGATTGCGGGTGTAACGCCCCCACACCTTCCGGGTCGAATTGCGAGGTCCCCGGCCTCTTTCCTATATGATTTGCAATATAAATTTTGTGATTTTTCAGGAAAAAAAAAAAAAAAAAAGCCACCATCTTCAAGATGGGTGCAATAGAATAGCAAGGTCTGACGATCCAGATTCTTCATATCGTATTTTTTATCTTTTTTTCTCTTTTTTAATGGGAAAATTGGTGAGATGCCCCTAAAAGTTTGGGTATTTCCTATGTTGTATGTGCGTACGTTGTATGCAGCTGAGACGGTCATAATCTCATTCACATTCTGATCGGCTGCGCAGATCCGTCTTCCTTCACATTCCCTGTGTGCATCAACCCCGGCGAAGCCCTGGTCATCATCTTTTTTTTGAACATTCCTTCCCACATTTTGGTCAAAACATAAGGCAAAAGACATATTAAGCACAACAGTCGTGAAAAAAAAGGGAGAGAAAAAAAAAAACAATTTTGCCCATCATCCATCAATCAGATCCAATGGCGCCGAGTCGCTCTCGTGCATCATCCTTTCCCCCAGCACATGTAGTACCTAGAATGCTACAGTCTTCCCCCGAATACAGCGTACAGTCATTATAGCAGAATTTGGGGCATTATTCAGTCTAAATTCATCTATAATGACCGTACGTTGTATTCGGGCGAAGACTCTAGCCCTGCAATTCCCGCCTTTGCCTGCAGCACTGCGCAAACTAACGTCACGGTGGAGAAAAAAAGGTTTGGACACAGATCCAAGCCGCGCTGGCGCAGGGCCAGCTTTCCCTAGTGAGTGCACAACCCGACCGGCGAGCACCACAACCCGACCGGCGACCACCACACCGCGCTTCCATTATAATAACCAGTAGACGATCGCAGACATCTCCTACTAGTCCCAACCCCTGCCCAGATCTGCAGCCCGGCAAAATGGAACAGCCCCGGCTGCACAGCGTAGTTAACCAAGACAGCAGTAAAAGAAACACAAGTGCCTTTATTTTTCCTTTTTTTTTTAAACCTCATTTTTACTACAAACAACAACAACTTTATTCCAGGGCTCTTCTTCTATCTGGTCTGGGGTGGGTAGCCTTCTCCTTGCTGATGCCGCCGTTCGATGTCTCACCCGTCTTCTTTCTCCACTTGGGGAGGGCATGGCTCTACTACCAGACGATACACAAGGGGAAGCACCCATTGGCTTTCTGCGAAATGGCTTCCGGACCTTCCCAGATATATTTGATCATCTCTGAGACGCTTGCGCCTGAAAAAAAATCTGATCAAAAGAGCTGTCATTCACGATGACAAAAAATGTGCCAAGATCTCTCTAGTCCAGAATAACTCAAACGTCGAATCTTTAAGCAATTTGAAACCAGAATTCAATCCAACCTGGCGGTGAACATACTTCTTCTTCCCTCACCGACCCTGCTCCTCTTCCTCCTCGTTCTTTTCCATACTCCTTCCCTCGCCATCCCTCCTCCTCCTCTTCCTCTCTTTTTATCCTCCTCTTCCTCCTCCTCCTAATCCTCATCTTTTGTCCTCCTCTTTCTCCTCGTCCTCCTCCCCCTACTCCTCCCCCTCCACCGTGACGGCCGTCCGCTCCACCCAACAAAACAAATGTGCAAGTTATGGAAATTTAAAATGCAATCTAGACAGCGACTGCAAGAAGAAAAACAGGCGCCAGAGCAACCGGCACCCACCGCTCGGCCTTCTCCTCGCCCTCTTCCATCTCCTCCCAGTCCCCTCCTCTCCTCGGAGTCCACCTTCCTTCAGCTCCTTATGCAACCATACAAGTGTGAATGCGCTTAGACTAAAAAAATGCTCTCCGTCCCCGCATCAGCGTCGCGAGAGCAGCCACAGTAATCAGCACATCAGACAGCCGACATGATCACACACCGACAGCCGCTGGAAGGACGACACGCTGCGACGTTTCCAACTCCTAAAACAACTCCGCTACGGGCCTGCTCAAGGCTGTTTTCTTCGTATGTCCTCGACCAACCCACTGTTCTCCCAAGCCTTCCACATTCCGTAGTCCCGAATTTGCTTAAACTGCATCTTTTCGCCTCCCACTCCTATCTCTCCACTACCAAACACCTGCAAAACCGGTGCGGACGAGCCGGCCTTCATCCAGTCGTGCATTTCCACCATAACAAGTGGGATCTTGCGCAACCACGTCATCGGGTTCTCTTCCGATACCGTGAAGACTTCCTTCTCCGCCCCTTCGATGTCAATCTTCGTGAAATCAAAATGATCGATGTTAAACAGATCCTGAATGAGGTCCACCGTCAAAGCCGGCACCCCCTCCTTCGACTGCCAGACCATCGTCCCCCACTCGTTTCCCAACCCCGGATTGCCGACGTTCACCCGCGTGACCGTGTTCCAAAGCGCCGCATTGATCGGATGCACGTTCGGGTAAGGCCCGACGTTCATCTTCAGCATCTCGTAATTGGTTCCGGCGGGCTCGATCGCGATAATGGTCGCATTGGGAAACAAATTCGCAAAGATCATCGACGCCATTCCGATGTTCCCTCCAGCATCTAAAATCCTCATCAGATTGTACTCGCTTACGAAAGAGTACTCCGTCTTTTCATACAACTGCTCGAGCACTCTGATGTCGGACGCACCTGGCCGAAGGAAAAACTGAAGCAAGCATGGCTCCTGCAAGCAGGGAACTTCGTTCGCAAAGCAACCAACGACACAAACATGCGGCTGCCTCCCCTTTTCTGCCGTCACTAACGGTTGAAGCTCCTCCCACGTTCGCCATCCATTCTTATAAAAGAACCGCCTTCCGGCCGCCTTGCAATCGTGCGGCGCAAGAATCAGCTGCCCGACTTCTTTCGCATTCATGCCACAAAGCTCCCGTTGCCTCGCACATGCCTGAGACCTCCGCAAAAGATTCCTCTGCTCATTCGACAACAGGGCGTACATATCTCTACCTAGCTCATCCTTAGAACCATTTTGCACAGGTGAATCATCAGTTTGTTGGCTTCTCGTCCTTGTTCCACACAGATTGTCGAGAAGAAACCTGGGATTACCACCTCCATCAAAAAGCACTGCAAACATGTAATAGCCGCCGAAAAGCAAAATGCAGGCCAAGATGATCAGATTGATCTTCATGCCTGTCAGCCGTGGCACGGACACGGCCGACCGTGCCAGCTTCATACCTATTTACCTACTACTCTGTGCAGGCAAGCTCTCCCGTCCTCCTCTCGAGTCCAAGTCACAGCCCTAAGAATAATCCCTGCGCGACAAGAACAGTCTCCAAATCCTTCCAAATTACTTCATTCAAGCTCTCTGTACCTGCATTCCACAAAACCGTTCAATCCAACAAATACAAACGTCAAAACATCATCCACAAAACTCTCTCTCTCTCTCTCTCTCTCTCTCTCTCTCTCTCTCTCTCTCTCTCTCTCTCTCTCTCTCTCTCTCTCTCTCTCTCTCTCTCT